ATATATTATTTTTTATATATTAAAATATATTACTATTAAAAACATATTATTAATAATATATTTTTGAAAAATATTAAAATCATATATTATTAAAAATATATTACTTTTTATTTTTAAATATTATTAAAAATATATTATTTTAAAAAATAAATTCAAAAAAAAAATTAAAACTTACATTTATTTACCGTTTAATTAAAAATAAAATATATATTATTAAAAATATATTACTTTTTATTTTTAAATATTATTAAAACTATACTATTTTTTATATATTAAAAATATATTACTGTTAAGAATATATTATTTTTTATATATAATATAAAAGTATATTATTTTTTTATATATTATTAAAAATATATTATTTTTTATATTATTCAACAATATATTATTTTATTTTTATTTATTATTAAAAATATATTATTTTATTTTTATATATTATTAAAAAAAGCATTTATATATAATTTATAAAAGTATATTATTTTTTAAAAATATCTTTTATTTATTTTTATAGTAAAAAATGATAATGTTCTTTCATTCCAGTCTTATTCCTTCTGCATATCAAACGCATCAACGACAAAACATGTTTCATTCCATTCCCATAATCATTCCATTCTGCAATTCATTCCATTCCTATCAAATTTCATTCCATCATACTAATTAGTAGGAATTCAAACTATTTTTAACCTTTTACAATTTAAGTGTAAATGTTTCCTTTTAGCAAATTATAGAAATTAGAATTCAAACTATTTTTAAGGTGTAATTTTTTATTTTTTTGTTTTTTTAACAAATTACAAAAACTTTGTCAATGGAGTCATCCAATACCGCGTCTTATAGTGATACAGTTTCAACAATTTGATAAACAATAGGTGCAATTTTGTTTATATATAGTTCTGGTGGTAGCATTTTTCATGCATTACAAGGACGAGAGAAGTTCGAATCAATCTGCGCGAGTTTATAGTAGAATATACACTAGCTAAGGGTTAGATTCCTTGTATATTATTGAGATTGAAGATTGAAATAAACAAAAGATTCATATCATTATCAACGATAGATTGAAGATTGTTTGAGAGAGAGATCCAGAGGATTCTGTGATACAGCCGCAAGAGAAAGAAAAATGAAAAGTGAGGACTCAAACCCTAATATCACTATTTATACTAACCTAAAATAACTAAAAGTGTCACAAAGAAAAAAAAAAACGTGTTACACTTAAGAAACCAACATACAATTCTAACTTTATCATATCCTTACTAAACCCAAGTGTTGACATCAAATTTTGGCCTCACCTATTAAAATATTACACGTGAATATATGTATTAAATAAATATAAAATAGCGGGTTTTTTCTATCTGATTTATTAAATGAGTCTCCAAAAGTCAAGATTGTCCGTATTCCAATCAAGCAGAATTCAACGTTATCAGCCCGACCCAGATATCATAAAGAAGTTGCCTCGACAGACACAATAATTGCCGACAAGACAAATATCAATCAAAGTCATTATTTATTTCATTATTTATTTATTATTGTTGGGCCATGCGCGGTCTCGTTTGATTTATTATATTTGTCTTTTGTAAAATATTGTAAAGGCCCAACATATAAGGGCCCATTAGACGAATATATATATCCCCCATGATGAACATCAGACAGATAAGTTTGAAGGGGCTATTCTTACTTTTCTTTTTTCCTTATCAAGAAGAACAGAGGCAACGCTGTTCTTCTTCGGCTTCGTGCATATTCTTTCTTTGAATTTTCTTAAATCTTTTACTCAAAAAATCACCAAAAATATACAGAGAAATTCAATATACAAACAACTTTGAACCCCCAATGTTGTTACAAATCCATACGTCAACACCGAACTAGTGGAGAACAACAAATAATCGACCTAAATATCGAGTGGTAAGGAAAGAAACCATTTCTTACATGGAATTTAATTGAGGGGATCTTTTGGAGAATCTTACCTATATCTGGAAGGTTCTTGATAATCTGAATAACTTAGACAAAAAATGATTATTTGTGATTATATATAGTCTAGCACCAAATTTGAAAAACTCTAACATGTGATTGTTTTGTTAGTGCAGTTATAAAATTTGGAAGTTTGAAATTAACTTGAGTTTTGGTGTGTTTACGCTGAGAACTCCTCCCGGTGTCTTATAGGTTATTGAAACCAGTTCGTGAAATTGGTAATTTGTTTCATACTTTATGGGGTCATCTATAAACAGTGACGGATCTAGGAAGTTCAATCAGGGGGGCCCAATTTTAAATGTTAAATAATGAGCTTGTAGTTTAAGTCAAAAAGCGCATTTCATATAAAATTGTATTTACTATAAATATCGATATACCATCAAGTTTTAAAAACTTAGAATCCGATTACCCTCAAACTTTTTTTTTTCTTAAAAAAATAAGATTTCAGGTATTTATAATTTAACTTCAACATTTATAAGTTATGGAAGAATAAGTTTTTTGGTTGAAAATTGATTTAAATTGAACCTTTGCATTACATTGCATAACATTTTTGTTGATGAGAGCTTATCAAATTATCATTTTTTTAAAAAAAAATAAAGTTAAAAATACGTGATTACACAAAAAAAAGAGAGTAAAAAATCAACATTAAAAAACGTAGCAATCCAACTAAATACTCGGTTTTATAAATCATTAAATCGATTTATAATTAAGATACCGAAAGAGTAATTTATTATAAATATTTCCAAAACTTATCTACATATGTAAAATATATAATTGTTAGTACAATTTTTAATAAACAAATAATATTATTAATTTAAATTAAAATAAATATAAAAAATAAGTTTTAATTATTAGAATATTGTAAATAATTTTTGTCTTTCTATACATATTTTATAATATTTTCTTTAAATATATATATATAATTATATATATATAGTGACTTTTTAAAAATAAATGAGGGGGGCCCACGGCCCCCCCTGGGCCTAGTATGGCTCCGTCCCTATCTATAAATATTTACAATAAGGTGCATATAGCTGATCATTTGGTAATGCATAAGTCGATTTGGTACTAATTAGATGAGTTCAATCTAAACTTATATCGTTTATGAATACTAACGAGTCGAACTACAATTTTATTGAGTTGAAATATAAAAAAATGCATAAAGTTTATAATGTTTGAGTCTATAACGAGTTAGGTTCGGACTCATTTATAAAATGAGTGTAGCCAAGATCCATCATTAGCAAACCGAACCTAGTTATATCGATCTCATAAAAGACTTATTTCGTTTAACCGATCAATAGTGATTTATCATACATAAGAAAATTACGTTGCTCTNNNATCCATGTAGATTTATTGATTAAAATAAATGAAATTTTATCATGAAAGCAAACGAGATGGAACTACTTTAGGTTGAAACAATTGTTCCAAAAAATATATGGAAACTAAGCAAGCTTCAAATGCCTTTATGATGTCCCTATCTCTCCATTTCTCCAAATTGAAAAACAGAAGTCGTCATAAAGATATACCAACAGATTTCCATGAAGTCCCGAAATGAATAAACACATTTCCATTAACAGATATCTCAATATTGGAAGAAATTAATTGTTTTCAATTACTGTAAAACAGCAAGAAGAAATGAAAATTGAAAAGCTTAAACGGATAAACAGTTAATTAATTGATTTTATTACCTAACTCAAGAAAAGAAAAGGAAAAAGAAGGGAAATGCCAGCTGCCAAGTCATTCCGCTTTAGAGCCGACCTGTCATCACTCATCTGCACCGGATCTAAACTGTGTGCCGGGCAGCAATTCTCTACGTCTACCCCTACCTACACCTCAACGTTCTAACAAAATATTATAGAAAAATTATTTTGGTTTGTAAAATAATTTATTTCAAATGTACTTTATCGTTTTTTTATATATAAAAGAGG